CCCCAAAACTAAGGTTTATGTATTTGAGTTACATTTCCCATTCATGATGTATGTGCTCAGTGGTTTTGCAAATCAGATCCTAGTGTCTCAAGTGAGCACTCAGAACATGAGAAACCAAACTATTCAGGTTGTTGCATTATCACATCATAAAAGCTCTGTGATAGAGCCAAAGGTAGAGTCAGTATTTCCCAGGATAGCATTCAGCTGACTCGGGCATGAGATCATCATTCCCCTCCTTACTATCTCTTGTCTGTGTCAATTGCCTGCAGCAATTAACACGAGTTGTATGGACAGTATCCTTTTCTGCTTCTTGCTTCGTCCTCAATCCATGGTACATTGAAAAAAGAAGCAATGATATAATTATAACTGAACCATAAGGTATACAGCCAAAGGAGTAAGTTACTGTTGTGTATGACCAACCTTAAACCTGCCCCTCATTACTCTAGTTTAATTCAAAGTGACTGACTTTCTGAACTTGCATATTTCTAAAAAATAATAATGGTATAGTATCACAGGCTTTTTTCCCCTCTCCTCTCTCAAAATTGGGTGGGACATTGTCTGGCATCCAGTTAGCATTTATATGGTTCATTAGAAGATTTGAAGACTTAATATTAGATGTCTGTCCTGTGCATATAGAATCTAATAGTTATTCATAGCAATAATGTAATTATTTTAAACTTTATTTGATAAGTCTAGATACTGTAGTTTGAGTTACTGTTTTCCTAACTCTCTGAAATGTACATAAACTTTATGAAAAACTGTAATTGCATTTATGCACTAGCTGTTTTTCAAATTTCAAATATTTGCTAAAAGTATCTATCCTATGTTTTAATGATGAAACATAACAGTTACCCCTCTGGGGTTTTGTTTGTTTGAATTTGTCCCAAACTTAAAACTCAATGTGTAATTAGAGTCAAAATACATTGTGATGATTTAATGGGTTCTCAAAAAAAAAAAAAAGTGCTTGTGTTTGATCTTACTAAAAAAAAATTTCAATGCTTTCAGTATTAATGAAAGATCTGAAGATGAATTTGAGTATTTTTTTGATATAATATATCTTTAAATGTATGACTAACCTGAATAAGGGGTTATCTTCTCAAAGTTAGCTTTTAGAAAAATATTGATATCTCAGTTGCCCTGTTGAATCTCTCTCTTTCCCCGCATACATATATATGTAAAGATGCAAGTTTTAGCATAAAACAACTTGAATGAAAGATAATAGCTTTCTACTTTGTAGTTTAAAAGTCTATTATTGTTGTAAATGATTCTAAATCAAAAATTTAAGACTACTTTTGTGTAGAAATTTGGTCAAGAAAATAACATTTCCTGTCAGAATACAAATGTTATGAAGCAAGTTATTTCCTAAAGGACTCAAATAGGAGGACATGAGTATAGTACTTCTGTTTAAAACCATATTATTTTATGAAAATGGCTGGATTTATTAGGTTACCTTTCTGGAATACCCAGTATAACCATGTGCAATTCTGTCTAAGTAAGAGAAGTTATGGAAGTAATGCCATTACACTTAATATGATGTAGCACAAAGCTAGTGTGCTTTGATTCATCAAGGAATTGCTTGGTACTCAAAACTGCTCAGTCATTGTTATACTTAGGGCAAGATTCCTAGTTAGTATCATTCACTGCACTATTTTCTTAAAGAAAATGCCTATGTTTTGAAATGGAAACTGACAGGCAAAGATGTGTGTTAAATCTTCAGATGTAAGTATTTCCTAATTAAATTTGCTTTTAAGAAGTCCTGGATATTTTTGTGTGTGTGTTTATGTATGATTTGCTATAAGACAATAAAAATCGAATGGTGGCATTGAATAACATATATTTTTAGATTACTTTTTAAAACTTGTGTGTGTGTTCCCCTCCCCTCCCCTCCCCTAAATGTCACATTACCTAGTGTGTGGTTTTTTTTCTATGTGTTTGTTTTGTTTGTTTTTAGCTTATTTGCACTAACCTTGATGAACTCAGGGAGTTAATCAAAAAGATTGAGAATGAACTCATGGATCTGGAGGACATGAAAAAGAAATCGGTATGTGACTTAAAAAAAAATTCATCTTGTATGGCTATAAAACTGTTATTTGCTGAGGCTTGTCAACTGAAGATTTTGTGTCTTAGCAGTCATTGCATGGAGCCCCATAAGGATAATGTCTGGAAAGGTTATATTTATTTTTATCATCTCTTTATATGTAGTACTCTGTTAACAATGTTGTCATAAGTAAAATTGATAACTATATATTAATGCTTTTCCTTTGCCCAAATATAATGTGGGTAGCGGTAGTATCTTAGAGTTGATTCATTCCTATTCATCATGTGAGTATTCTTTCTTGAGGCCAGATTCTGCTTTAACGAGCAATTATGGGGTAGAGTTCTCATATCTGCCTATGCAGTGCTGATCAAGTTGCTTTATGAACTGACACACTCATGTCATTTCTCATGATTCCTGACTCCTCCTTTGCAAGCAGTTAGATTTGGCCTAATGGAATTCTTGCCTTTATTAGATCCTTCAGGAAAAACATACTCTCAAGTTGTAGATCAAGGATTGATACACAAATTCTACCTAGCATGCACTGGATCACTCCTTAGTAGCATAAAGACAAATTCCTTTCCTCAGAAATAGCTGAGTCAGAGAAATATGAAAAAAATAAGTAAAAAAAAAAATCTTTATTCTTTATATCATTGTGGTTCGATATAATAGAGATTTGTGCAAAGTTCAGACATTAGACAAACAATCTGCTGTCATTCTTTATACATATAAAACTAGTAAAAAGGGAAATAAACAATGTTTCTAACCTTGAGACACATCACTACCTAAATCTAGTATCGCCTTTCCTATGGAATTTCATGCTATTTTGTAGTCTTGTGCTCTTCTAGAAAAAAGCAAATGAGTTACTGATAAGGATATGATTAGCCAATTAGTGGTAATACCCCCTACCTAAGCATTACATGTTGGCCTATTACTCTCAACATAGAGAAACTTTAAATTAGAAAAAAAAAAAAAAAAAATTACCCAAACTCTTTTCCATAATGTCAGACATACAGTAATTTGTCATAACAAATGGAAACGGCCACAAATGCGGTTTGGGAGATTCTGGTTAGACAAAATAAATGTTCCCCATTAATTTAGTGGAGATAATTCTAAGTATGATAATATTTTAGAGTCCACGTTCTTAACTAAATGCTTATGAGTGCTCATGAGTTATGTTCCTGCTTGGTCTGCAATTCACAGTCCCAGTTCCACTGCATTGGCAGCATAGTAGTATAAGGACAATTTTTATCCAAGAAAAGAAGTGACAAGGGCCATGCCTCCGAACTTCCAGCAGAAGCCCTGCCCCCTACTAGCAGTCACATGTTCCACTTGCCCTGGAAGTCCCTCCCCTTTCCCGGTCACATGCTCTGTTTAGTCCACCTTTTTGCAAAATGTCATACCCCCACATGTTTTCATACTGCCCTGTGATTGGCTGTCCCAGCTGCCTCTTCCAGGTTACCCAGAAGTACATTGGAACAGGAAGCCCCCTTCCACTACATACATGGATGCTGCCATTTTTGACAATGTTATACCCCCATGTGTTTTCATACTGCTCTGTGATTGGCTGGTTGCCATTTTTTGATATTGTCATACCCACATGATCTCAGAGGACCCCCTCTGATTGGCTGCCCATTTCCTTCAGACCAGGAAGTGCTCATACAAAAAA